AGTCCATTGAAAAGGGTATAAGTGTAGTTGCCATTCATTCCGTACGCACACACTTTTTGCACTTCGTCTTCTTCAGTCTTCACTTCATTTCCTTCTTCCTCGTTTCATTTCTTCTTCTGCAATTCAAATGTGGGGTCGAATTGGGAGCGGCGGCACCACCATTTTTACATCCCCGGTTATTAATCCTCATCTGAGTGAATGGTGGAGGAGATTCCGTACGCCGCCGCCATCTGAGGCGCCGTTGCCGGAGACGGCGACGGATATGGCGTCGGAAACGGAGTCGGCCGTTTCGACGGTGTTGGAGACGGAGGCTCCGGCAATCCAGACGGTGTCGGAGACGGCGCCGTCGATCAGAATCTCCGTGTGGGTGTACGTAGCTTCAATGGTGGTCGGTTTACTACTCCTGTCCGTCGGCGGCTACCTGTGGTTAGCATATCCCGAGCACAACGCTCACCAGCAGGAACAGCTCCCGGTGGGACAACCTAGGACTACGATCGCAGAGCCTCCGACGAGTTATTTCGCCGGAGCGCCTTCTCCGCCACCGGCAGGACCACCACCGCCGCCGCCGTCGCCTCCGCCGCCTCCGCTTCCGGCATACGATCCTTTGGCTGCAGCGAAGAAATATTTTGCAACTCTCCAACAATTGGTAATAGCATTTATTTTATATGATTATTATGTTTGCTTATATGTGAAGCTAGTTAAATTTTCCAGTAAATGTTGTCAAATATTATACGTTTGTGTTTGAAATCTGATACAAATTCCTGTTTGTGTGAATGAATTCAGATCTTAGTTGTTTTCTAGGGCTTTTGGTTGCATTTCTAGTTTGTAGAGGTTTTGGATACTTGAACGAAAAGTGGTATTCAACTGAATCAAATTAACTTTCTCAATTCTTAGATGATGATCAAGGGTTGCACCTACATTAATTGATTGATATAGATCTGGTATCTTCTTTCAGTTAATGTATGCTGCAAATTAAATAGGTATCATCATATCTTGTATTTTGATTCTGTTTTTCAGGCAGCTGCCAAACAATACCGTGACCAGCGTAAGAGGTTGAGGACGACATTCGCTTTTGAAAGTGTGATATGCAAATTGACTTTGTATTATGATTATTGGCAACTCAACGAGGTATTTCACTTGATCGATCTGCTTTCGTTTTTTTAGCTCGATAGTGCTTTTTGACTTGGAATTTGGTGAGTGTTCTGTTTTCCTCTTAGCTTTTGAAATTGTGAGATACAAATGAACTTTATTTTATGATTATTGGCAACTCAACGAGGTATTTCACTTGATCGATCTGCTTTCGTTTTTTTAGCTCGGTAGTGCTTTTTGACTTGGAATTTGGTGAGTGTTCCGTTTTCCTCTTAGCTTTTCCAATTGTGAGATACAAATGAACTTTGTTTATGATTATTGGCAACTCAACGAGGTATTTCACTTGATCGATCTGCTTTCGTTTTTTTAGCTCAGTAGTGCTTTTTGACTTGGAATTTGGTGAGTGTTCTGTTTTCCTCTTAGCTTTTGAAATTGTGAGATACAAATGAACTTTGTTTCATGATTATTGGCAACTCCACGAGGTATTTCATTTGATCGATCTGCTTTCGTTTTTTTAGCTCAGTATGCTTTTTGACTTGGAATTTGATGAGTGTTCTGTTTTCCTCTTAGCTTTTGAAATTGTGAGATACAAATGAACTTTGTTTTATGATTATTGGCAACTCAACGAGGTATTTCACTTGATCGATCTGCTTTCGTTTTTTTAGCTTAGTAGTGCTTTTTGACTTGGAATTTGATGAGTGTTCTGTTTTCCTCTTACTGAAACCATATCTCCTACTGCTATCTATAGAGAAATGAACATGAATTAATGCAAAGGAAAATATATGTTACGTTGGTGTACGTTGTGTGTATCTATAGTGTATTTACGTACGTACATAGACATAATGCGTATTGCATTCTTTGCAGGTTTTGGAGGCTTTGCTGGCTTTGCTGCCAAAAGGCATGACTATATCTTCATCTCTTGAACCACTTGGTAATAATATCCCTCCTCACGTTGAAGTGGCGGCCTTCAACTTCACCGATGACCATCTTGATCAAGATAAATATCTTATCACAACGGTACTTTCCACTCGTACATTTATTATTTATGCCAAAGATTATAACCATCAAGCTGCTAGTAGTCTCTTGCAAGAGATATGCCATAGACCGTAATCTTTGATTAGCCGATTTTTTTTTTTTTTTATTATTACTTAAAACATATATATATATATATATATATATATATATATATATATATATATATATATATATATATATATATCCAAATGTCTCAGATGCTATTCTCTTGATGACAGGGACATGTTTTCCGCAGAGATCCTTTTGAGATGGTGAAAATATTGAAACCAGGATTTATTAGATTTCCAGGTATCACTTAACAATATTCACGAGACTTTTCAGTTTTTCGTATCTTTTCTTTAAGTGTAGAAATGGGAGACTGCATTATATGCTTGTCATACTCAATATCAACTTCTATACGTTAGGGCCATGGGAAGAGACGTCAGCTCGTGATGTTATTTGGAATTTCGAGTTTCTCCAGGTTTTTTTTTTTTTTTAATTATATTTATAAAATATATAAAGATTACTAGTGTTTGTTATATTATTTATACATATATATATTTATTTACTTTCCATTTCGTAATCACTTGTTCAGATTGCTCAGGATTTGGAGGCAGAACCTGTATGGTTGTTCAACAAAGGTACTGTGTACATAAATTTTGATATTTTCCCTCAATTTTTGCTTATTTGAAATTTTCTATTTTTCTCTAACGGTCTTTTTTTTTTCCTCTCTTTTTGTAATATTATCTATCAGGAGTTGGCACTTCCACTTCCAGCATCCAACCTTCTTTGTGTCCTAACGCCTCGTATCGGTTAACGCTTATAACGTAGTATGAAATCTGTTTTTTTACGTCGCATGCGCAACGTTAGTCTATTATAAATAAAACTAAATAAAACGATCATATATGTGTTTATTAATCTTACGAGCGGCTGAAAATAGTGAGTGAGGAGAACGCTGCATGGCCGCATGCTCCCGTAAATTCTTTCTCCATGCAAATATTCTGAACCTTTATAATCTAGCCAAAGTTTAATTTTCTACAAGTCTTTTGACTCTACATCTTTTAATTAATAATGGTGGGAATACCTTAACCTTGGTTTAATCCTTTATAATATTTTTTTCAAGCAAAACAATGAATTGTGTGACACGTCTTATTTTTTGTGATTCGACATTGTTGAGGCCTCGAATGATTTATTAGTATTCATGGTAATTCCGGTATTTTATATTTTAATTAGTAAATTCTCTTTTTTTATTTATAGTAATAAAGTTAATCTTTACATAAGTGGTACTTATACTAATTACTAGCTATACTGTTGACATGGCATGACTAATATAGCATTGAATGAAATTTTTAGTTTGGGGTAAATTAAAATATCTGGATTAATTGTTTATTTTATTGCATAATAAGTCACGAGGATTGCGATCATTACATCTGCAGTTGTAGCCTTGTAGGCCTGAGCTACTATTTCTAGAGTTTTAAATAAAATAATCTTTACATTAAGATGATTTAAAATGATTTAATTTATCGAAAAAAATAAAATTAGAATGATTTAACTACTGTCTTTACGTTAGCTTATTAACTTTCTTAATCACATTAAACGATTTATTGTTAGAATACGGAGAGTTCAACAACTCAACATTCCAAGCGCGAGATTCGCGCTGCAAAAGATCTGACACCATGCGATGTGAGAAAGGGCAACTTAATTCGTTTTTGATGATATATAGCCGTTCCTTAATCCTCAGATTTTTATTAAAATAATAAAAACCAATACAAATATGAGTTTTTTTTGATAGGAAAATACAAATATGAGTTAATAGCACATAAAATTTCTAATTGCCATAAAACATTTGTGTTAAAATAATTAGCAAATATATATAATTTATTTTATTGGTTAATTAATGGCAAAGAGGTTCATGACAAGGGCTCATAATTAAAAAATGGGTTAAATACAAAAATACCCATGTACTATGGACTTTGTATCATTTACCCCCTGTACTACACATAAATACAAAAACCCCCTACTATTATATTTTTTTCAAAATATGACGAAAATACCCCTGCTAAACCTATAAATATAAGTGTTTGTTTGAGCTATTTTCCACTATACTTTTTTAACATTTTCGGTCAATTTTACTTGGGAAATTTTCTTTTTTTATTTTTTCCTTCAAAACATTTAATTACTTAGATTTCTTTTTTAAATTTTCTGAATAAAAACCTTTTATTTTTGTCATTTTGAATTTATTTATGTTTTTCTTAAATGTCTTCCGGTAGTTCAAATTATCAACAATAATAGGATTGTAAAGATGTTTGTAATCTTAGGATGTTTGAACTACCGGAAGACATTTAAGAAAAAAAAATGAAGAAACTCAAAATGGCAAAAATAAAAGGTTGTATTTAGAAAATAAAAAAATGTAAGCAATTAGATGTTTTGGAGAAAAAAGTATAAACACCAAAATTTTCAACGTAAATTTGACTGAAAATGGTAAAATATATAGTGGAAAATGGCTCAATATATATATATATATATATATATATATATATATATATATATATATATATATATATATATATATATATATATATATATATATATATATATATATATA